GCTTCACGCTCTGCTGTCTGCAGCTCCTCATTGCACAGGCAGGAGAAACCCCTCAAACAGCACACTGGATCCAGGGGAAACTCCTGGGTGAGTTGGACAAGCTGGAGAGAAGATGGAGTTAAATATTTGGATGATTAAGGCATCCAAGCTGACGTGTGAGGGAAGGATGAGCAAGCTGGGAGTCTTTGGCCTCAGGATGAGGTGGTGCAGGAGGGATCTATAAATGTGTACAAACACCTGGGGGAAAGGATAAAGAACACAGGCAGACTTTTCTCCCTGGGCACCAGCTTGCAGGGTAAGAAGCAGTAGGAACAATCCCAAATCCAGGAAATTCCACTCCAACAGTCCAAAATTCTCTATTTTCACTGTGAGGGGGGTCAGACAGTAGAGCAGGTTCCCCAGAGGAGCAGGGAGTTCTGCATCCCTGGAGAATTCAGAGCCACAGTGGGCAGGGCTCAGGGAGCAGTGGGGCTGGACCAGGAGATGTCCAAAGGTCCCTTCCAACCTCATCCTAGAATTGTTTACCCATGGAAAACAGGCAGACACATTGAAACCTGTCGAGATGCCCAGGATATCTGTGGTAGAGCTGGAGTCTGTCCCACTCCAGGATGTTTCTTGATTCAGAGATACCCCTACTCCTTATCACCGATTTTTTCCTCATTATTACAGTAGAAAATAACCCAACATACTCTTTTTTATTTCCCAGATGCCCAAGCCATTTGAATTTCCGTGTTTTACAGCAGGTACTGTGGAAAAGTCTATATGCGAAATTAGTAAGGAATAAAAGCACAGCGCGGTTTTCCCCTCCAAATAATGGCCCTCAATGTAATTGCTGTGTGTGTTGGCCTTGCCGCCTGCCCAGCCGACCTTCCCCGGGCCGCTCCGGCTCACTTCCCCCATCTGCTGGAGCAGCGCGCAGCCAAGGGCGGAGTGAACTCTCCAAACACACACGGAGCGGTTATTTGGGTTATTTGGGTTATTTTTATGGCCGTCTGCTTTGCTGGCTGATCTCAGCTCCATTGCCTGCAGGTGACTTTTGTGAGGGCACAGCAGCTTCTCCCAGCCCGGCCCGGGCTGCCACAGCTCTGGGAGGGATTGGGGACAGAAACCTTTCCAGCCCCGTGAGCTGAGCAAACCTCCCCTCTCCCCCAGTTAGGAATGCTGGGATGAGGCACCTGCAGTCCAGGGGCTCTTTCTAAATCTCACCCTTTGCCCGAGTTTCTGCTCCAGATTCGCCCCTTAAGAGGGGGAGGGAGTGGGATTGGAGGATTTTTCCTGCACTTCATGTCCCACACAAAGTTCATCATGCTCTGACTGTACCTGTATTTCACTGTGACAGCACAGCCCACGCTCGGTGCATTCATCCTCCAGATCCTGTGCAAGAAAAGGCAGAGCTGAGTCCCTGTTCCACAGACCAGGCTCGGGGGGGGGGAGGAAAAGGTGCCACTTTTCTGTGGCAGAAAAGTCACCAAAGTGGGTCCCCAGGTCAGTGCTTGGACCTTGGGACTGCACTTCCTCATTTGTTGGAGGAAGTAGTTATGCCATAAACTCCTGGCATGGAAAGAAAAAAACCAATATTTTTTCATCATCAGGCTCTTCTCCTTTGTTTCATTTTTGAGTTACTTGGGAAAGCAGGGGGAAAAAATGAGTAAAAATTAAGCACTTTAATACAGGTTCAGGTTTGCAGATTCACTTCTAGGTTTAAAATAGAAATTGATTTTCTCCTTTCACCGAGTGTCCAAGGTGAGCTTTGTTATTTTTTTAAAAAATTGAAATATATTTGAAAGTCTGCATTCTATTCTACAGGCCCCTTTTTCCTTCCAGTGAGATACAAAAGATCAGCTCAGGCATTTTATATTCTAAATTTTGTCTGACCAGAACAAAATGTTTTTCCAGCAATGTGGGTTTGCACCTAAACCTTTTTTTTTGCATTGAGTTTGACCTTAGGATGTGGAATTTCATAAAACATTTATTGTCTTCTCCAGTTTTTAGAGCACAATTCCCCTGTGATACTTTGTTTTCATCGTCTGTTCTGAGAAGGATTCCAAGGCTTCTCTCACAGTTTGAATTTTAATTGTGGGTGAAGGAAGGAACCTCTGCTACTTGCAGCAAATTAGGGAGTATCTCCCTAAGCAAAGAGAGGTAAAGAGGATGAGGATCAGAACCAGGAGACAGCCAACAGTGTGAAGAGTGGCTGTGGCAGAGATATTTAGTTCCATAAATGAGCAGGTTTTGCAGTGTCCCACTCATCCATGCTGGCAGCAGCAGTGATCCTTTTCCCTCAAAAAACTGCAGCTGATAGAGACAAAATGAGTTAGAAAACAAAGCAACCAAACCTGGGCTGTTTGAGGCAGACAAAGGCAGCTACAAGGCAAACAAAGAAATGTTCTTCCTCTATCCAGAGCCCACTGATGGCTCAGGCTGGGTGCTGCAGGTTTACCACTAAACACTCTCCAAAGATTATAATGCATCAATTATCAAAGGCATCCAGAGGTACCACTTTACTGATATTGTTAACGAGCTTGGCCATAAAGGGATTTGCAGCCTGAGTTTCATGACAGAGCCAAGGTATAATTTGCTCTGGGCTATAAAGGCCATGAATTATTGAGAAAATTTACTTCCATGGCTGCATTTTCTCTCTGAGCACAAGTGCTCGTGCTGAGTGCATGTGTGAGAGCAGAGACAGTGATGGAGGCTCAGCCTCAGAGTCCATCTCCCCAGCACAGGCTCTTTCACACAGCCAGCAAAGAACAGCAGAAAATAACTGACAAAATGATCATTCTGAACAAATGGGAGAGGAAAAATTGCATGCTGAACAGTGCCAAACTGAGGACCAAATAGAAATCACAATTAAAAATGCACTTTGGGTAATTACAGAGAGGGGCTTTTCCCTTAGAGATGTCACAAAGCTTGTGTGGATATAATCAGGCTTGAATAGATCCAGTGATGGTGAGAAATCAGAATTCTGGGATCATGCATCAGGCCAAGCCTTTACCCTGCTGTGGGACCAACCTCCTCCTGGTGTTCTTTTTAGAACTGCTTTCTTCTGGAAGTGAAGCTTTGGAATCACAAATTCTAAATCCATGTCCTCCTTCCCCTCCTTCCACTCTGCACACCCAGCTAACAACTTCTGAATCCACTGACAAATTCCAAACAAAGCGATAAAGAATTGTAGGTTTCAAAAATGTGAAGTTCTACCTGTTCCATGAAACAGAAGCTGTGATGAGGGATCATCACAGGTGATGAACAGAGATGAGGGATCTGCTCAACCCTCCATTGCAAGGATTCCAGCATGGCACCACCCTGGAGAAGGCCAATCTCAAGAAAGACCTTAATAATGTCTTAACTATGAAGGTGACACAGCAAACTGAGCTGCTTTTGTGTGCAGAGGGAAATCCGTGTTCCTGAGGGCTGATGGGGCAGCAGCTGCTGTAAACAATTTCTGAATTATGTTGCAAGGCAAGAGCATTTTCCCACCAGATTATGCCCTTATTCCTAGGAACTCACAGGCATTTGGGATTTTCCTGGGGTTTTGCATCTCCTGTGACCAAGAGAACAGAGCTGGCAGCCGGGCAGGTCCCGTGCCAGCGCTGCCAGGGCACCGGGGCAGGGCAGGGAATCGGAGCCTGGAGATTCCCGTGCTCTGCTCCATCCGGCCCCGCTCCCTTCCCTGCGGGCACAGCGAGCACCAGGGGCACCAGGGCAGGGAATCGGAGCCTGGCGATTCCCCTGCAGGCACAGCGAGCACCAGGGCCGGGATTTGGAGCCCTGGCGATTCCCCAGCCCGGTGCCTTCCCTGCAGGCACAGGAGCAGGCAGGGACTGCCCTCTTGTGTCAGTCACGGTTCTCTCACTCGCCTGGCTTTGAATTCCCGTCTCTGTTTGTGAGTGAGCGCTCAGCCGTTTCCCTCCAGCACTAATTCCTTCTTCGGAAGGGCAGAGGCTTCGTTCTGAGTGCTGTGGAAAAGTTCAATAAATAAAAATACATCTGCTGCGTTTATGACTTGGAGACATCCAGAGCTGGGCATACATTGCCCTTCCAGGCAGACACATCCAAACAGTTCCCCTGGTTATGCCCAGCCTCCATCTTGACACAGATAAGGAAAGCAGAGGAAAGAATAAAACAGCAGGAATGTAATGAAGGATGACAGAGAGGAGACACAAGAGAAGCAGATTTGTTGCACCAGTCAGCCCTCATAGTAAGTTACACGCAAGTTAAAAATAGAATTGACCCTTCCCTGGGGAGCCAGACTCATGGACAGCTCACACATGACTCTGCAGCAGCATCCTGGGCCTGTGGCTGCCAGAGATCTTCATCTTTAAATCATTAGTGCTCATTTCCCGGGCAGTTCTTGCAGTAATGGTTGTCAGAGAATAACAGTGTTCTAAAAGCTGTGCAGGCTTTTGTGCCCACCACTTCTCCTGCCTGTTAATGACAGACACCTAAATTTATGCTACATTCACTAATAGCAGCGAGTGCTCAGGCTGTGCTTGCTGCTCTTACCCACAGCAATGAGCCACCCTGGCAATTGCTCATGTTCCTAAAGCAGCCAGATTAGCACCTTGCTGAAGTGGATTCAAAGAAAATCACTGCTCAGGAGTGGACAAAATTTGGACCATTTGGAATATGGAAGAGCAAGGGAAAGAGCTGGCATTAAAACCCAGCCTCTGGAGCCCACGTTTTTGTCTGGGCTGCCACTGCTGTAATCAGCTCCAAGCTCCCAGCTCTAAAATGATGCTCAGCAGTTATCCCTCTATCAGTACTTCACAAAGAACCATCCCTAAGAGTATTTTCTTTGAGCTTTTGCCCAGCCTGTTCTGTGGTATTTGTATCTCTGGATGGCTCAGCACAGGCATGTTTTGTGTCACCCTGCTCATTCCTGAGCTTGTCCATGTGCTGAACTGGTAAAAGCTGCCCAGGAACCTGGGATTTCACTTTGTGCTGCCTGAGACCCTGACACCTGAGCAGATCACAAAATATAAAGGTACCTTTGGATATTTGTTGAATATTTGAAACACATCAATAATACCGAACCATGTGTGCAGGTGTCTCTTTGGAATTCATGTGTACTTTATCTGGAAAAATTAAATAGCAAAGGGAACCACCCACAAGGCAACACATCTTGAGAATAGAAATGGAAAGATTTATAGAAACTCAAAACCAATCCCTTGGGGTCTCATGACCACCAGCAGCACAGAAGTGTCTGTGTCTCATCTGCCTCCTTCCCTTGGTGCAGGTGTGGAACAACACAAAGCATTTCCCTCCATGCTCTCCTGTCCTGGCATCTTCCTGCTCCTGGAGGAACATGAGCAGCTCTTTGTCCTCAGCAGCTTCCTGGGCACTTGGTGTTCCCAAAGGAAGAGAAACCACAGAGGCTGCTCAGTGTCACTTGCTGGGATTCCCCTTCAACTCCAGCTTGAGAAACTTCAGTTCTAGTACAACAGCTTCCTGTTTGTGCTGCTCTGAGTGTATTCCCAAGGTGGCAAAACTCTCCTAACCTTTTTTATTGCTGGACACAAGGAACAATTTTTTATCAGAGGATGAACAAGCATTCATGTCCCACTTTTACAGGCATTTTTAAACTGCTGTCCCTTTACCTCATTTCATATCCTTGAAGAAGCTTTACCAGGGGATTAGAGCAGTCACAGAAAACATTTCTTCTGACAGATCATTACAAGGGCATGAGAAGAAATATCTTTCCATCATAACCTACTTAGAAACCCAAAATCTTCATGTCTTCTTTAACTCTTACAGTCCTTCCCTTGCTTTTCTCCCCATCTGAACTGAGTCAGACCTGTGGCTGTTCTTTCATGGCATCTTCTGAATCTTCTAAATTTGCCTGTGTTGCTGGATCTCTGCTGATTGTGTCAGGTGGGGACTGGCTGGGGTTCAGCCCACGTGGTGTCACCTGTTCAGGGATGTCATCAAGTTTCTGGTTTGTCCGTGCCACTTGCTTTCCCATTTGAACAGCTTCATCATAGGAAGGTGGCAGGTCCATGGCATAGAGGCTGTAAGCTGGAGGGGACACAGTGTTCTTATCCATATCCACAAATACCAAGGGAATCTGGACACTTGGGGGGTACTGCCATGAGCTGTATGCTGGGAAGAAAAAAAAAATTAAAATAAAAATTAAACACCTGCATGGGACACTGATATATGAAGGGCTATTTTTCCTGGAAATTACAGACTTTTGTATTTTCAGAATGAATGCACTGTATACTAAAGCTGTCCATACAGGGTCACTCCTGTTTTTCAGTGTCACACTGTCACCCTGATCCCTCCCTTCACCTCTTGTGCCCACCCTGTGGGGCTGGAATTGTTCTGGGAGCTCACTGGGAATTGCTGTTCCTGCAGGGCTGGACAGAGCCCCAGGCACAGGCTGAGGAGCGCAGGGTGAGGAGCACAGGGTGAGGAGCGCAGGGTGAGGAGCGCAGGCTGAGGAGCACAGGGTGAGGAGCTCAGGGTGAGGAGCGCAGGGTGAGGAGCGCAGGGTGAGGAGCACAGGGTGAGGAGCGCAGGGTGAGGAGCGCAGGCTGAGGAGCTCAGGGTGAGGAGCTCAGGGTGAGGAGCACAGGCTGAGGAGCTCAGGGTGAGGAGCGCAGGGTGAGGAGCGCAGGGTGAGGAGCGCAGGGTGAGGAGCGCAGGCTGAGGAGCACAGGGTGAGGAGCGCAGGCTGAGGAGCACAGGGTGAGGAGCGCAGGGTGAGGAGCGCAGGGTGAGGAGCACAGGGTGAGGAGCGCAGGGTGAGGAGCAGGTTACTCCTGGGATACTCACAGGTCACTGTGCTGTGGGCAGTGCTGTCACTGTCAATGCCAATCACGGCCAGGTCGCAGGGGTGCCGAGGGAAGGGCTCCACTGGGATCCTTTTCTTCCTGCAGCAGAACCTGACACAGCTCGCTGAGACCCCGCAGAGCAGGAGCAGGAACACCAGCAGCAAGATCAGCCTGAAAGAGGGAGGGGGAACACCTGCAGTGCACTGCTTATGTTTTACTGCTTCTCAACCACAATATCATTTCAAAATGGTCAGAGGACAGGCCAAGCCTCCTTTAGTTCTGAATGGGGGCTGGATCCTGGGTTAGAAAGTTGGATCACAAACTCTCAGTCATGAGCTGAAGAATTACTGCCCATTAGTACAACATGTTCTGGCTCACAGGTGCTGAAACATTTCACTATTTTGGGTTATTTTCTACTTCTGTGCAGGGAGAATGGCTCTGCTTTCCACACCAAGAGAGGGTTTGTACTTGGAGGGAAGTACAAGCACAAACTTTCACGAGTCTAGGGCCTCTCTTTATAAATGAGCATGGAAATGATATTATATTAAATTATATTTATGCCTTGAAAACACAATTCTATCTGTAGCTATTGCTTAAGGAAGTTTATAATTTAACAATTTACAATGTACCTAGACTGATATACCTGTGTTTCAGGTTCTCCACTAAAACTCCACCTGCCCACCTCTCAGTTTCTCAATCCAACTCCCTCTTTTCCTGGAGGCTTTCAGAAGCCTTCTCAATCTATTTTTGGTAACTGTGTATTTTTAAACAGCTCTGTGTATCAACCAAAACTGCTCCAGAATGAAGGAGGTGAAGGAATCAACTCCCTCTGTGTGCTCAGAGCCAATGTATGGACAGAGTGCCAACCATGCAAACAATGTCAGGGCACCTGTACCAGGTGTGAGATGAATCCTGTTGGGAATCCCCTCTCTGGTCCCAGTTTGCCCCTCCCTGCAGGTTGTGCTCAGCTCTGTGCCCAGCAGAGGGGACAGTCCCTGTCCCTGTCCCATAGAAGGGAGTGAGTCCTGCATGGGGCAGGGCCAGGGCCCAGCAAATCCCTGCTGGAGCTGCCCTGTGAGAGCAGCCAATGGCCAGCAGGGCTCTGGCTATTTAGGAAGAACAAACAAGCCCTGGAGTTCAACTCCAGAGCACTCAGAAGGGAAAGATGACACAGCCCTCGGTGAATGCTGGTCCCCACCTGACACCCAATCTCCCCTGGCCTCGTCCAGTCCATTCCTCTGAAAACAGAGAAACCCTTCCCTGATCTGCCTGAGAGAAGCCTCTCCACTGCCCTGCTCCAAGGGCTGCTCATAAAAACCTCCAAAGGGTTCTGGGTTGGGAAGATTAAAAGCCAACTTACCAGACATACCACAGACTGGTCCAATCAGACATGTTCTGAGGGCATCTGTGAAGGAAGGCAGATGATTCTGATTAAACAGTGCATGTATGGCAGGGAATGCACTTCCCTGGGGTGGAAAAGGGAAAGCACTCGGTGAGAGTATGGAGCAAAACCACCTTAGATTGTTCTTCATGGTTGTACCTTTACTCCAGATGAGAACATGCCAACAATCCCACTGTAAAAGTTGCTTCTGAATCAAGAAATGTTTTTATTGAGTGGTGCTTTACTCTTGCTTGGGAGAGAGAATGGCTCGTGCAGGATTCCCAAAAAGCCAAATCAGTGTTATTTAAAGGTAATTGAGATGGGGTGCCTCATACCAGAGGCCTGTCTGAAAATGCTGGTCTGGACAACTGCCTGTGTCCCCCAGGTACTTTAAAGTTATTTTTTCCATAGCTCCAGTGCAGCCAGGAATGGCTTTTTTCAGCTCTGGTGCAGCACAAAGGAGGAGAACAGCTCCTGTGCCATTTCAGCAGGGTTGTGTGTGCTGAACCTCCTGTGGGATTTCCTGTGCCAGAACAGTGGCTGTGACCACAGCACAGCCTCTGCAAACTGGGCACGAGTGACACCTGGGAGTCGTCTTGGGGGAGAACCTCAGTCCACAGAGCAGGGGCAGCCAAGTGAATTTAAAAGTCGCTGGCAGTCTTAGAGATCAGAAAAGAAGCTGTAAGGGATGGCCACGAGCAAGTCACCGTTCTGCTGTGGGAATGTCACTTGGTCCCGGTGGGAAGGTTTGGGAGCAGGCAGTGGTTACTCACCGGGCAGAGCTGTCACAGGTGCTCCCAGAGCAGAGCCGTGCCCGGGGAAGGGCAGCCCGGGTTGGATCAGCAGGTGCCCACAGGAGAAGTTCCCCGTCCCTGCTGCCCGTGCCCCGAGGCTCCGGCCGGGGCGAGCGTCCGAGAGCCCCGGGAGCCACCGCTGCTGCTTCAAGGACACGCGGCCGGCGCTGAAAGGGGACACCGAGCCCTGGGGCCGGCCCGGGCTGGGCAGCGCAATAAATAACCGGGACCGTCCGGGGGGGCAGAGCCCGGGCAGGGCACGGCGGGACCGGGCAGCGCCGCCCCCCGGGCCCCGACTGATCCGCCCGCCCGCGGGAGGGGCCGGGGCCGGGCGGGGCAGAGCGGCCCGGACACCCCCAGGATATCCCTGATTCTGTGCCTGTCCCCTGCCCCATCCCCTGCCCCAGTCCCAGCCCTTGTCCCTGTCTCTGTCCCCATCCCTGTCCCTGCCTCTTCCCTGCCCCATCCCCTGCACCTGTTCCTGCTCCTGTCCCTGCCCCAGTCCCATCCCCTGCCCCATCCCCTGTCCCTGCTCCTCTCCCTGCCCCTGCTCCATCCCCTGCCCCTGTCCCTGCCCCTGCCTGCCCAGACCAGGAGGGGGTACAGAGGACAGAGCTCCGCTTGCAGAGATTTCCCCGGAGCGCTTCAGGACTGCACTCGATGCTCTCACCAAACCAGAACCCATCGATGTGCAGCCCCTGGACACACCCTGAGCCTCTGCTGCGCCAGAGGGACTTAAAGGAGAAATAAAGGAATGAGAAACCTGGTATGAAATACGTGAGTCAGAAATAAATGTTTAGAAGAGCAGATAATTTCCCCTTCTAAACCCAGCCTTGTTAAAGCAGATGGAACGCGACTGAAAAGGTATTGATAGCTCTTTAGGATTGGGGTGGTCCAGGCTATTTCACTGTGTCGAACGTTTCAAATGTAGAAGTTCCTTATCTCCACCCATGAGCCTTTGTTGTGTTGTTCTCCCTGTCCATCTGAGGAGGGCAGGGATGGAGTGGCTTTGGTGGAGTGGCTTTGGTGGCCCCTGGTGTCCCATCAGGGCCCGCCCAGCACAGTCCCGGGGCAGCCACTCCCTGGGGACCCCAATGGACACAATGCCTGGGGAGCACCAGGTGATGTTCCCTACTTTGGTTCCCTAGAACTGATGCCCAGTGTTTCCAGGCTCAGCCATGGCATGTGACAAAGTGACTGCAGTGTTTTCCTCCAGCACTGCTCAGGGTCATGGGGCCATTGCTCATTTAGGAAAACCTGTGCTCATACTTGTGAAGAAATAGCTGAAGTCACTTCTGGAGAAGCAGAACATGAATTAATAAATGTGTGTGACACCAGTGCTTGCTTTCTCACTCTCTGCTTTACAATGAGCTGGGTTTGCCCTTAAGCATTAATAAGATCATACATGGGGGTGTGAATTGCTCATTAAACCAGAACTGCATCAGTGCCATGAAGTTCATGTTGGCTTTTAGATCCAAATCTGGAAGCACGAGTTTGTATCCGGGGACCCAGGAGTGGTCACAGTTGCAAAACTCACTTTGATACAGAATGGTCACAAGTGCAGTTAGAGGAGCAGAAAACTTCAACTTCCAGGAAATGAAGAAATACTTCTGAGCTTACATTTTCCATATTGTCCTCACAACAACAGCTCCATTCCTACTGGAGTCCTGTGACATGGAAACAGAAGCCCCAGGTTCCATGTTTAGAGTCCCCTGGCAGTTTTAATGGCCAGTGTGGAGAACCCACTCTGGAAGCACAGAACTGAACAGGGCTGGTGCCTTTCCAGGAGATGAACTTGCAGGAGCTGTGCTGAGCTTCTCCTGGGCACTGGGACTGGCACTGATCCACGCCAGGAGAACAACCAGCACTCTCTGTGTGCTCAGGGAATTCCCTACAGAGCCACTCACTACTCCTGGATCAGCTCCATGTGCCTGAGTTACCAGAGAATTGTTTCCATCTTCAGCTGTCCCAGTCAATTTTCTGTTCACCGGAAAAATATCAAGAAGCTGTTGCACAAAGCACACATTGCACATGAGAATTGTGTGGGCAGGAGCATCCTCACAGAATTCCTGCATTTTCAGTAAACTGAAGGTGGGTTTGCAGTGCAGGTTTGCATCATGAGGATTCTAACTGTGGTAGCTCAATGGAATGGCAGCGAAACACCCAGGGTTACACTTTGCAGACACATTTTGCACACCCAGGGTTACACTTTGCAGACACATTTTGCACATCCAGGGTTACACTTTGCAGACACATTTTGCACATCCAGGGTTACACTTTGCAGACACATTTGCACACCCAGGGTTACACTTTGCAGACACATTTTGCACATCCAGGGTTACATTTTACAGACACATTTGCACACCCAGGGTTACACTTTGCAGACACAGTAACTGCTTTTGCTTTTGGAACTGCAGTAGTGTCCCAGGTGAGGCAGCACAGTCTGCTCACATTCCCATGGCTCTGCTTTTCCACATCAGACAATTTGTTTTCCCTTCCACATCAGCCTGTGTCTCATTGCTGAGTGCTGCCACTTCACCCTCTGTGTCCCCAAAGAACAAATCCAAGAGAGGGAACCCCAATCCTGAGCAGCCATTGTGCCCCCAAGAATGATCATTTTTGAGGACAAGTTAAAATAAAAGGTTTTCTCTTATGAAAGGGACTGAAACCTGTTCAGATTTCCATAAGTGCTTTACAGAACGTCAGCCGGAGTTTACAGGGAGAGTTTACTTTATTTTCAGTCCTCCAGAAATAACCACCTGTTCCTGTTATCCTGGTCCAACCTCCCCCGAGACATCAAACACATCCTGAATTTTAAACGAGGAGACTTCGACCAGAGAAACCCAGAACCTTCTGTTCACTTCAGGCCTGTGAAAATATTGATCCAAGTTCTCCAGTCCCAGGCAGGTACAGTGGGTGACACCCCTGGGTACCAGTGGCACCTTCAGCTGGTTGGTGGCAGCTGCTCCTTACCCAGCCCAACCCTGTGAGGGCACCAGTGTCACTGTCTTCACAGCTTTCTTACATTTTTTACTTCTTTTTATCCTCTGGATGCTTTTTCTCAGTACCTGAGCTCTGTGAAGTGGAAGATTGCTAAGACAGGGGTGTTGCTTCCTGGTAAATGTTACACTTATTTTCAGCACTCTGTATGGTTATCATAACCAGAGTCTGGAGTCTGATTTGTTGTCAGCCATCACTTTTTGGTTTCCAGGAGTGAAATCTGAAGGATCCTCACACAATGGATGCCCACAAATGCCTGAAGTAGCTCCTCCAGTCCCACAGGCTGTGCCCTTCCTTCTCACTGTGGCTGTGCTGTGAGCAGAGCTGTGAGCAGAGCTGTGAGCAGAGCTGTGAGTGCCTGTGGTGGGATTTACTCACCCTTTTGGGGCTGCAGGGCAGCCAGCACACAGAGCCCTTTGTGCCAGCTCCAGGCCCAGCTGTGCCAGCAGCAGCACCCAGGGCCTCCAAGGAAGGCAGAGCTGTCCCTGGCTGGCACTGCCACCCCCAGTGCTGCCAGCCCAGGACACTGGGGCTGCTTCAGCATCTGCAGTCTTTAGCTGAAGAGTTAAGTGACTCCACTGGCACTCGAGCCATTATTAAATAGAACACATCTCAATGGATCAAACACTGGCTGGAAAAACAAGGAACCCCCTCTTCACCCCCACAAACCTCCTCTGTCAGAGGGGGAGCCTGGTTTAAATGTTCCTTGTGACAATTGCTCCCCTGCTGGTTCCTCGTTACCACAGGGATATTTACAAATAACGTTTCTGTTTTCTGATTGCATCATCTGAGTCAGGGATCTGACAGCCAGGGCCAAAGGGCAGCACGCCCTCGGAGTGCTGGGAGGGAACTTTGCCACAGACTGCCTGTGACTCAGGAAAGAGCATGATAAGAGATGCACAGGATTATCCTGTGTCTGATGGCTGCTGCCTTCCTGCTCCCTCCATTCTCCAGCTCTGCTTCCTGACAGAAGTTGCACCTGCAGGGCACTCTGGCTTCCCCAGAACAGCAGGATTCTGCTCTCACGCAGAATTCAGCAGAAGGCAAACAGAAATACAAAGTTCCTGGACAGCCAGGATCTCTGGCAAGTGTCTGCCCATATCTAGGGAGCAGCACAGGAATATTCCCCCTTGACCTCCTGTTACCAGGCACGTTTGATTGAACATTGTAAAAGTGACTTCCCAGATGATTTGGAGGAGGCTTGAATAAGAAACTTTATTCTGGTCTTAGAAAAAGTCAAGGCTTTTCCAAATCCTACAAAAAACTGATCTGAAATCAGATAAAGATAGAAACTCACTGATGTGGATGTAAAGCAGATATTCCTCCTGGTGGGATGACTTTGGGAGACTTGGGATTAACAGCTGCTGGGGGCCCTCAGGAATTCTTTCCTCTAACACAAGATTATTGTCACAGAGTCAGCTGGAAAATTAAGCTACTGACACCAGAGTTTAGAGAGAACTTTGGGTGAAACAGCAGCAATGTTACATGGCCCTTCCTTCCCATGTCCCTGCTGCCCTCACTAATTCGCAACAACCTCAAAATCCTCCCATGTCCCACCAGAGATCTCCCAGGAATGGAACCTCCATCTTCTTCCATTTGCCTGATCCCTCAGGCAGTGGGAGCAGCTGCAGGCACCACTCTTGCCATGAGCAGGACTCGGTAGCATTCTGTGATGTCCCCTTTCACAGTCAGCAGGGCTGACACCAGAGGGGGGTCACTGGTCTGCAGAGAGAACCACACAGAAACCAGCCTGGTCTTGTGGACACAGGAGACACGAGCAGATCACCTTCTAAGCTCTGTGTTTCACATCTCAGTGTTCAGGTACCAGTTACAGCTACAGGTGACAGCTACAGCCACTGTGCTGGCTCCTCTCTGTCCCCAAGTGATGCTCATGCTGCAGCCAGTGAGGTGTGACAGTGACTCAGCACTGTGTCCCCACAGAGACTGTCCCCACGTCACTGCCATGGCAGCTGGGCTCAGCAGCAAGCCCAGAGCTCCCAGGGAGGGCTGGGAGGAAATCCTGTCAGCCCCCAGTGAGCGCTCAGGGTTGAGCAAGAGCAGGGTTACCAAGGGGCACCATGCAGGCTGGATTCATCCTGCCAGGAACTCTGCTGCCTCTTCCTGCTGTGATGGCAGAAATCTTTTAATTTTGGAACCAGCTACTCATTGTGC